GGGGAGGAGTTCCAGACTACACAGAAACACTATTCAACTTGATCCTTGCCCGTAAGACCTCTTCTAACCCTCTGAGTCTGGTGTCCAATAGAGCACAGCATTTGGAGCCAGGAGACCTTGGGGTTGAACCCCACCTCTGTTGCTTACTAGGTATGTGATCTTGAGTTCCTACCTGAGTTTTCAGTTTTCACATCTGCAAAATGGGGACCAACGCTGTACTCAACTTCACAAGGCTATTAGGAGGATTCAGTGAGATAATGCCTGGCAATATTTTTACAACATACGAAGCCTGTATCCCCCTTAGTCATTCATTATCTCTCTGCTCACAGTGCTCTGGCTTTACAAGTGTCATGAGGCAAGCACGATATTGAGCCACGAGTGAGTGTTCATTAATCTGCTGTTCCACCTACAGAACACGGGCATTTAGAGAGATGGGAGAGGGCTTCTGGGAGACAGTGCATGTGAAATCTCACAGAAGGACCCCAACGGCAGCTGGGAGAAAGTTCTCCAGGAATGGCAGGACCTGTCTGTTTTAAATCGTACCAGGCCAGTGGTCCACCACCCAACTGGTGGGAAAAATGTGGCTTTGTTCCTCCACCCAGAAAGTCAGCAAAACCGTAGACCCTTCCCCCTCACCCCACCCCACCCCCACACAGCCCTCACCTTGGGCAGGTCCGTGGCCCCACGGATCCGCTGTGACACCTTCTCTCCATCGGGGTGGATCTTGGCCACGTGCTTCCACATCCTTTCCCAAGTGGCCTCGTCCACAGGTAACCCACCCCGGTTGACAAAGAAGGGGACACCTCCGTCTCGAAGGTCCTCTTCCCCTTCCTCCTCTGGCTCCTCATCTCTCTGGGCTGAGGCCCCTTCGCTGGTCTCCAAACGCCTGATCCCAGAGGGGGCGGCGGCAGCAGCCGTAGCCGGGGCGGAACTGCTGCTGCTGCCGCCCGCAGCTACCTTCTTCCCCCCGGGCATCCCCAAATATTTGACCGGCGGGTGGAAGGGAAAAACAGGCGGCTCACGAGGGAATTCCCACAAGCCAGCTGCAGTGATAACACATGGCCAAAAAGAGTGCAAGGTGCCTTTAAGAAACCAGGGCGTGGCTCACGTACAATAAAATACTATACGATTAGAAGAAAATCAGTGCAAAAACGTGAAGTGGAGGGCTAAGGGGGTCGGTTGCCTGGGGTTAGCCTTAGAGGCCTTGTTCTGTTTGGAAAATGGGTTAAAAAGGACACACCCCAACTTGGCAGGCTTCACAAAGCACCCCCATTTGACAGCGAGAACAATGACCCGCAGGAGGCGGGGGGCTGGCTGAGAGGAGAAAAATGGTAGGGAAACTGAGGCCAGGCAGCTCCGACCAGCGGTCTTAAAGAAAGGAGCCCACGCCGACTGGGCGCCCGGGTCCTTGTTTCCTCTGTAAAATACACGCACGCTCACACCCGGCGCGTCCCTGGGGGGGACCAAGGCGACTCCGGGCCGCGTCAGCTCCGAGCCCCGACCAAGAGGGCGGGAGCGCGGCGCCGGGGCGATTTCGGCAGCGCTACGAGTCGGGGAGCCAAGACTGGCAGCTGGCGTGGCGCGGGCAAGAGGCGCGCGCCGACGTGCACATTCCACGCCCGGGGCCAACTCCGCGCACAAAGTGGGCTTTGTCTTGGCCCCTGTTCCCTGGCCCCCGAGAGCGGCAGCGGAGCCTCCAGAAGGGAAAAGGATGGGGCGGGGAGCCGAAGGCAGGGAG